TGCACTCTGGGTTCTGTGGCTTTCTGGATATTTGGTCAGTGATCAAGTTAAGGGCAGTTTGGGAGAAGGGAAAATTGCAAACTTCCCTCTATATTCCATACTTTCACCAACCTTTTTTGTGGAAGCAAATGGGGGGGGGAGGGTTAGAAATCATGGACTACATTTGGCTTTGAAACTGGTGGCTTATTCCACTTGTTTCTATGGAAACAGATATTGGAAGAGGCAAATACATAGTTTTAAATAAGTTTAACTCTTATTTTCTACCTCCCTCTACAATTGCTCTAAAAACTCCTAAAGCAGACACTTTCTAGAAACATCTGGTATCTTCATAAAGCTTGTCTAAGCCCCATGTTACTCTATTCATTTGGAAATAAAGCGACATCAGAATGGCTAGGGTGAGCTGAGTGCTGAAGACCAGGATCCTCTCTGCTCTGTGGGCTGCTCACAGGCAGCCTGGTGGCCCAAGGCTTAGGATGCTGAGGGTCACATTCCAAATGATGGGTCATCACTACCCGTCCTTGACAGTGGGACAGGTCTTTGTCATTCACAGTCATCCACAGGGTATTAGATGGCCAAGCTGGGGCCCCAGCCAATTGCAGACCAAGTTCCTGTTAGCTGAGGGCCTCCTGGGTTGGCCTGACTCCTCTCAGGAAAGGGCTGCATTATCTGAAACTCTGATCTTATCATTCTGCTGTTTAAAATCCTCTCCATCTGCTAGAGGAGGAAGCCCACACTCAGCCGTTCAGCAGGCCCTCACGGATCTGGCTCCATGTCCCTCCCAGGCTCATCTCAGCCCCCTTCCTCACTCATGTGCTGAGCCATTGGCACTTCACAGCATCACGCTCTCCCTTACTCCATGCCTCTTTACGTGCTACCCTCTCCACCCAGAATGCTCTCCTCACCCTCCCCACCCCCCAATATGCTAACTTCATGTGAAAAATTCCTGCTTGACCTTCAGGCAGAGCTCAGAAGCATCTTTTCCAGGAGCCTTTGGACCAGCAGCTCCTTGGATGCCTCTGCCCAGGCCCCATCTCCCCCTGTTGCCCCTTTTCTGCTCACACCACTGGTAATTATCTGCCTGTGTACCTGGCCCCCCAGTTCATGACCTTCTCAGAGGCCAAGGCCATCTGTGTGTCCCCAGCACCCACTGGCAGGGCCTGGCTCAGATTAAGTGCTCAGTAAATATTTATTGAATAAATTGTCCCCTCCACCTAGAATTCTCTCCCCATGCCACCATATGTCCAACTTCAACCCATCTGTCTGGGCCCATTAAACCAGATTCTCCAAGAAATGTCTTTGCCGAGTCACAATTTAATTTAATATTACACCCTCACCTTTTATCAAGGGCCCATTTATGGGGCTAAAGCTTCCAGTTGAAGAATGATTCAGCATCTTCTATAAAGGACTGTTGTTCAGTGTGTGACTTAGTGCCCCTGAGATAAAGGGCCACAGGATAGATCCTAGCAGAATTTAGCACCAGGAAATGGGCTGTGCTCTCCCCATGAACTTGTGTCTACTTCCTTCCTTCAGTCAGGCAATTGTAATTCAATAAGCCACTCTCTTTTCTTTTTAACCTTGGCTGCCAGAAAGTTGGAGCCAAATTCAACACTCTGGGCAATGACCATCTTATCTCAGGTTCCTGGAGGATTATCTCTTGTACTGATCATTTGTGTTTATTTCTCTAACTGTCCTGCATGTTTGGGCTTTTACTGTGTGCTGCCTCAGGCCCTTTGGGAGAGGGAGCAAGATGTAAATTGCAGATGAAGTTATTAAAATGAGAACATTAGGTGCGATTTAATTGGAATGATATGCCAGAGAGACATTTTAAGGATGTCCACAGACATTGGCCTTCTGGCTTGGGTCCTGGCTCAGCCCAGGCTGTGGTCAGCTGTGGACCGTTATGGACAGATGGCCTCTGCCGGCCACAGCCGTGTTTCTGGAACACCTCGTGTCAGAGGCATCTTAGATTCGTGAGTGATTTAGTTTTATTTCATGTTCCTTGACGGCATCCCTTGTGCCCTCGGGATGCACTTGGGCTCCAGAGACCTCTCAAGACACAAAACAAAAGTCACAGCACCACCATGGGCACCAAGGGGACAGCCCTGAAGTGGGAGACTCTGGTCTCACCTGTTCAGTGCTCTCCAGGGGATGGGCTGTTTACTAGAAATTCTCAAGTCCATGGAGCAGACAGCTGGGAAACTGTCTGCAATCCTGGCATCTTCTGACCACTGTGTGTCCTGGTAAAGCCATTCCAGTTGTTGAGCAAATACAGCCCTTAAATTTTGATGATTTTTCCACACATCCATATGAGCAGAAACATAGGCTATGGCACCCACAAAGACTTTTCCTCTTTTTTGGTGGGGGAATCCAACCAAAGTACCTCTTTGTAAATGATGCATCAACCGGGCACTCCTTCAGCACTTATGTGGCCGCCATACTCAGGCTCCCTTTAGGCCTACAATCTGATAGGCAAGATTAGACACACACAGAGTGGCATCTTCTCTATGGCATGTGCCTGCAGACTGACTCTTGGTTTTAAGTTTGAATTACTGTGCTGAGGTACTGGCCTTCCTTTTCTAAAGTATGAGCTAGGATTGAATTCAGACTTAATGGGTGAAAAAATGAGTGAGAACATGTATTAGTCAGACTGTGCTAGGTTTTACTGTGGTAACAACAACAACAAAAGATGAGCAACTCAGTGGATTAAAACAGACTTAATGGGTGAAAAAATGAGTGAGAACATGTATTAGACTGTGCTAGGTTTTACTGTGGTAACAACAACAAAAGATGAGCAACTCAATGGATTAAAACAATAAAGATTCTTTATGCATTATAACACTTGTCCATGGAGGGTCAACTATAGCTTGGCCATAGCTTTTTAAGTCCAGGATATAGCTGGTGGAGCACCTTCTGGGATGGTTTTGGTAGTAGGGGAAAAGAGTGCATGACAGAGTGTACACTGACCTTTAGAGTTTCCACTCTAAAGTGTCACATGTCATTTCCACTCATATTTCAGTGGCCAGAACATGTTAACTCTCCATGCATGAGTTCAGTGGGGCAGGCAGGAACAGTCCTACCATATGCCCAGAGGGGAGAGAAAAGCAGATATTGGTGTTCAGCCATAACAACTGCTATAGTCAAGTCCATCCAACGTCCTATCGCTGTCACAAACATCGCCCTATCCACTAGAAAGTGAGTTTCATCAGAACACAGAAAGAGGGACGGTTATAGTTTATTTACTGCCGTATCCCCAGCACCTGAAAAAGTGCCTGGCACATAGTACACACTCAATAAATAATATTAGTTGAATACCTGAATGAATCTAGCCTTAGAGCCATCTTATGGGGTATTCTCTGAGTTCTGTCATAGTCCTGCAGACTCTACTGCCAAATCCTATCCTGATCCATCACTCTGCCCATCTCCACTGCTACCCCTGAGGTCCAAAGCACCACCATCTCTCATCACCTGGCATCCAGAAGGGGACGCTCTGAGCTAAAGCTACAGTTGGCACACAATGGACAAGAGGTAGGATAAGAATAAACAACCACCTTTATTGTTTAAGCCACTGAGTTGTTGTTTATTGTTGTTGTTACCAAAACTTTATAAGCAAGCTCTTGCTCCCACTCATTGCCCCTTCCAATCCATTCTCACATGGCAGAGGAATCTTTTTTTAGATATAATTCACATACCATAAAATTCAATTTTAAAATGTATAATACAGTGGTTTTATTTAGTACATTCATAACGCTGTAGAGCTATCCACTCTGTCTAATTCCATAAAAGTTTATCACGCCGAAAAGAAACCCTGTTTATTTAACCCATGAATCCCCATTTCCCCTTCCTTCCAGCCCCTGGCAAACGCAAACCTACTTTATGTCTCTGTGGATTTGCCGACTCTGGATATTTCATATCAATGGAATCATATTATATGTGGGACTTTTTTTATGTCTGGCTTCTTTCAGTTATCAGAATGTTTTTAAAGTTCCTCCATGTAGTAGCATGTTTTAGTTCTTCATTCCTTTTTGTGGCTGAATAATGTTCCCTTATATTGATACTAGAGTCCTGGTGCACAAAATTTGTGCACTCAAAGGGTTCCCTCAGCCCAGCCTGCACCCTCTCGCAGTCCAGGAGCCCTTGGGGGATGTCTGACTGCCAGGGAGGCGGGAGAGGCTCCCGCCACCAAGGCAGTGCTCACCAGCCATGAGCCCATCTTCTGGCTGAGTGGCGCACCCCTATGGGAGCACACTGACCACCAGGGGGCAGCTCCTGCATTGAGCATCTGCCCCCTGGTGGTCAGTGTGTGTCATAGTGACCGGTTGTTCTGCGGTTCAGTTGATTTGCATATTAGCCTTTTATTATATAGGATACCACATTTTGTTTATCCATTCATCAGTTGATGGATATTTGGGTTGTTCTCAATTTTGAATTCCACTACTATTAAGAATGCTACTATGGGCATTCATAACAAGTTTTGTGTGAATATATGTTTTCCATTCTCTTGGAAATGTGTGTGTGTGTGTGTGTGTGTGTGTGTGCGCGCGTAGAATTGCCTGTTCACATGGTAACTCTGTTTAACATTTTTAGGAACTACTAAACAGTGCCAGAGTGGCTGCACAATTCTTCATTCCCACCAGCAATGTATAAGGATTCCAATGACTCTGCATTGTCACCAACTCTTGTTATTTATCTGCCTTTTTTATTATAACCATCCTGCCGATGTGAGGTGGTATCTCATTGTGGTTTTGATGAGAATGACTATCAAATGACTAATGACATGGAGTATCTTTTCGTGTGCTTATTGGCCATTTGTATATCTTCCTTGGAGAAATGTCTTTTCAAGTCCTGTTTTTAATTGAATTGTTTGTCTTTTTGTTGTTGAGTTATAAGTGCTCTTTATTTATTCTGGATATTATACCCTTGTCAGATACATGATTTGCAAATATTTTCTCCCATTCTGAGTTGTCTTTTTACTTTCTCAATAGTATCCTGTGATATACACAAAATTAATTTTGGTGAAGTTCAAAATTTATCTGTTTTTATGTTTATATATTTTTATCTATTTATCTATATTTTCTTTGGTTGTTTGTGCTTAGGTATCATAGCTAAATAACCATTACCTGATCCAGGTTAGGAAGATTTATTACACTTGAGTTTTCTTCTGAGTTATATAACATTAGCTCTTATATTTAGGTGTTTGATGTATTTTTAGTTAATTTTTGTATATGGTGTAAGGTAGTGGTACAAATTAATTCATTTGTATGCGGATATCTAGTTGCCCAAGCACCATTTGTTAGAAAGAGTATTCTTTCCTCATTGACTACTCTTCTAATGCCTATTGAAAATCAATTAAGCATTGATGTATGGTTTATTTCTGGCCACCCAATTCTATTCCATCAACCCATATGCCTATCCTGATGCCAGTACCACACTGTTTTGATGACTGTAGCTATGGTAAGCTTTGAAATTGGAAAGTGTGTGTCTTCCAACTTAGTTCTTTTTCATTATTGTTCTGGCTATTTGGGGTCCCTTGAAATTCCAGATGAATTATAGAATCAGTTTTTCCATGTCTGCAGAAAAGGCAGTGGGATTTTCATAGGGGCTGCACTGAATTTGTATATCAATTTGGGAAAAATTACTGTTAACAATATTAACAAGTCTTAACTGGCCTCTGACATTCTGTCTCACCTCGCCCTGTTTCTCCATCACATCACTTATCCCTGGTGTTCTCGCCTGTTTTCTGTCTTCCTCCACTACAATGTGAGCTCCATGAAATAGGGCCTTGTATTTCTTGCTCAGTGCTTCATCCCTAGCATGGGGTCTGGCAGGCACATAGTAGGTGCTCAATATATGTTGCTTGAATAGACAAGTGAATGATGAGCAAAGGAATGCATGAGTGAACAAATGAACAAGCTTCCATATTATGACTCTTGTCAGCATTGACCACCTCTGACCAGGTGATGCAGTTGCCCAGCAGCTGGCTTAAATTATTAGATGAATATGTTGAGTCTGAAAAGAAAATTAAATAATATTTTAAAAAGAGGAAGGCTTTTAAATGATTTTAAAGATAGTTTAGATTTGTGGTTCTTAATCCTGGCTGCATCATCCAGAAGAGATCTTTTTTAAAATACTGGTACTCAGGACACACACACACGCGCGCACACACACACACACACATTCTGATTTCATTGGTTTGGAAAGAGGCCTGAACATTGGGATTTTTTAGAAGTTGCCATGGGTTCTAGTGTGCAGCCAGGGTTGAAACTGTCTGGACTAGACCTCCACCAATCTCAAGGAAGGGCCCAGGACTGCAGTTAGGATACCAAAGTTAGAAGCAGATTCAGGACAGTACATGTATAAGGCTAAAGCAGTGGTTCTCAACCTTGGCTGCACATTAGAATCACCTGGGAATCTTTTTAAAATCCTGATTTCTGGGCCTCATCCTCCGGAAATTCTGTTTCTTTGTTATGGGGTGGGTGGCCCCACCCCATAACAAAGAAACAGAATTTCCGGAGGATGAGGCCCAGAAATCAGGATTTTAAAAAGATTCCCAGGTGATTCTAATGTGCAGCCAAGGTTGAGAACCACTGGGCTAAAGTATAAGAGAAGAAAAGCCTAAATCCAGGAAACCTGAAGTCCACATGGTGTCTTCCCAACCCTCACCCCCACCCCAGCTGGAGAACGTGATGGTGACAAATGACATGCAAACTCAGAGAGAGGGCCACCTGGCAAGGTTCACCTGTGCAGACCCCACAGAGCTTAATGAGCCCCCAGTGTCATGTTTTTCTGAAAATCCTTAAATCATCAGTTAAATAATTGTCTCCCCAGTGGAAGACAGAGAGCAAGGAATAGGAAAGAAGGAGAAGCTACAAGATCTCTATTTCTGCAGCATTGTTCACTGCAGGAGGGAGGTAGAGGGTGAGCAAGTCCAGACCAGAACTTTAGGCAAGTTAACACACTGCCCTGCAGTTGCAGGAAACCACCAACCACAGAAACCACAAAGGGCCAGGGAACCACAGTGTCCAGGCACCTCAGCACCCACAGTGGCTCTGAAATGGAACCACTAGCCACTTGGTGAAATGTTCACTATTTTCTGCCATTTTAGTTTCTCCTTAAAGAGACGGTGGGTTCAACTCCAAATACTGAGTCATTTTGACCTTGACATAGGAGAGAATACTTAACATGACCCAAAGATGCTCAATTCAGTTTAGAGGACACTGATAGAACTTGTGGGCCCCTCCTAAGAGCTCAGGAGACAGCAATCATCTTGGGGCTGCCCAATTCTCAGTGCCCAGCCCCCACTCCTCCGTCCTCCAGACTGGAACCCTCACCCCAGGTCTACACCACTTGGGTACAGGTACTCAACGGTTGGCAAACACATACTGTAATAACAAGAGTGCCTCACATTTCTGCAGCAGGCAGTTTACAAAGCACCTTGACATCCCCACTTTAGAGAGGAGAAAACTAAGGCTGAAGAGGTGAACTCACAGGCCTGAGATGACCTGGCTACAATTGGAACTGTCCCCAGCCAGGCCATGTGGTGCTAGATAACTGGGGATCTGTTCAGCTGGGATTGGTCTATTGGCCTATTCATACTTCCTGCTTCTTTCCACATCAGTTCTGTGTTCTACTTGGTTTTGTTTTAAAGAAACATTCTCTTCATTGATGCTTTCAAAATTATTAGCCTCCATTAAGTGTGGATGTTTAACCCTCTTTCACATCTGTGATTATCTGGGTGCTGTTGCATAAGAGTGAAGCACTTATGAGCAGATATTCAAATCTGGCTAATTATATCTGAGGGCATTGTGCCCCAGTCCAGCCTCATCCTCAGTAGCCATCTGCTCAGCATCTATCCAGAGTTCCAAAGAAGCTGTATAGTCTTGGTAACAATAATGGCAATAGCTTTTGTTAAGTGCATACTGTGTGCTAGGCACTGTTCCATGTGCCTTACCTTGTCAATTCAATCTTCGAAGCAACCCCATGCCGTAGTTACCATTTTTATCCTCAGTCTATAGATGAGGAAACTGAGGCACAGAGGGGTTAAATAACATGCCCACAGTCACACAGCAGGTAAATGGGTAGCATTTAGCCCTTCCTGGTCAAGCAAATGGACTCTGGAGTTAGGCTTAACTTTAAATCCCAGCTCAGCCACTGACTGTGTGAAGTTAGATAACTGTAGTTGGTTGAGTTGTGAGCCCCCAAAAGATATACCCACATCCTTAACCCTAGAACCTGTGACTATAATCTTACATAGTAAAAGGGTCTTTGCAGATGTAATAAAAAATTTTAGGACAAAATCATCCTGGATTACTTCAGTTGGCCCTAAACTTAATGAAGAGTGTTCTTATAAGAAGAAGAAGTAGAGAAGATACAGGCACAGAGGAGAAGGTCATGTGAAGATGGAGGCAGAGATCAGAGTGATGCAGCCACAAGCTAAGTTGTGCATGGAGCCACCAGAAGCTGGATGAGGCCCAGGATTCTCTCCCAGCGCTTCAGAGAGAGCACAGCCCTGTGACACCTTGATTTCAGACCTCCGGCCTCTAGGACTATGCAAGAATAAATGTCCACTGTTGTGAGCCACCCAGTTTGAGGAAAGTTGTTATAGCAACCCTAGGAAACTCATATAGTAGGTGACTTCGCTATTGAGGGCCACAGTTTATTCATCCACAATATGGATCTAGATATTATAATACCCACCTTATAGGTCTTTGGGGAGAATTAGAAAGGATAGTGCCTTAAAGGACTTACCTGTGCCCAGGGTGTCAATGAATGCTAGCTGTTACATGAAGCATCATTTGTTATCTGGCCCTTGGCCACCCTGCCTCTGAGTCTTCTCAGAGCTAGTCCCTCATCTTGCTATTTTCCTGTATCTGGGTCCTTGTCACTGGGCCCCCTGAGACCAGACCAGCATGGTCCTGGCTCAGGAATCTCAAAGGAATCGAATCCGACTCCCAGACACAAGCTGCAGACCCCACTCTGAGCCATTATCGCCAGAGCTGCCAGAGCGAGACTATGAACATCCACGCATGGTGTTTTCATATTTCACCCAAGAAGTCATTTACATGAGGCAGACACAGAAGGCTCAGAGAATTCAATCGAGAAAGGTAACTCCGGGCTGGAGTGAGTTCTGCCAACGGGTATGGAGGATTTTCCTATGTCTGCTCATCTCTTTCTTCCTTATCTGCGTCTTACAGCAGACAGGAAGCTGGCTGACGAGAGATGGTGTGTTCATACCAATTATTAAAAATATATGGAAGGCTTCTGGAAATGCATTCCCATGCCAAGGAAATGCAATGTGTTCACCAACCAGGCTCCTGCACTATGAGCTTTGGAAGAATGATGGGGTAGCCATAAACACTACAATCTAAGATTTTGATCCATATCTGCCACCTCCTAGCTGTGTGACCTTGGGTGAGTGACTCACCCTCTCTGAGCCCCAGTGCCCATAAGGAAATACCTATTCCTCCCTCACAGGCTTACCATGAGCATTAACTGGGACAACATGTTCAAGTGCCTAATGCTAAGCCTGACCCACAGGACTTCAATCGTTGTGCCTTCTGTTCCCACTCCCTGACTCAGAACCTCCTGACTCCATAAGGAAATTTTAAAAACTACCTTGCCAGCCTCCCAGGGAGGTCTTAAAGAGCAGTGATACATGTGGGGTAGGTTTACACCTTCTAATGCACATTCACCTACTCCACTTCTTTAATCCTCACAATCACTTCAGCGGAGAGAGCTTTGTTCCTATTTTGCAGGTGAACACATGTTGGTACAGAGTCAGTGATGGGTTCTAGAACACCCAGGTAGCATGAGCCCAGGGGGTGGGGGAGTATGGTGCCCTGTTGGTGAGACAGGCAGAGGCCTAAGGCCCAGGGCTCAGGGCATGTTGATGAGGGAGGCACTGTAGCCCCATGACTATGCAGCTTCCACCTGAGGGCCCAGGAGGACCTTGGCGCGCCAGGAACAGAGCTGGAAGATGGCCAAGGAGGAGGAGGAAGAGAAGAGGCCTCCAAGGAGGGTCACTGTTGCTCTCTTAATAATCACTTGTCTGTGTAACTAGTGTTGACTCAGAATTTCAGAACTTGAAATGAATTAAGAAATCACCCAAACAGACCCCTCATTTCTTTCATGGGGAAACTGAGGCACAGACTCACCCAAAATCCCAGAGCCCAAGACTGTCGATGAGCTACCATCTTTCACCTTCCTCAGATGCCTGCTCCAACTTCCTGCTCTTCTCGAAACACCCCAGGAACCAGACACAGGAGAAACAACATGATGGGACTCGAGTTTGGTCTGCCTTTCTTAATGAAAACTTTGAAACATTTTCTGAACTTTTATGTTATCAGGGAGCTTTTCCTTGGGTGGATTGCCATGGGGGGATAATAGTGGTAACAGCTGACCCTGTTGGAGCCATTCACTTGGGCCACACACTGGCCTAGGGGCTTTACACAAATCTGTCCATTCAGTCCTCAAAACTATGAAGAGGTACTATGTTTAGACCCATTCTACAGATGACAACAATGAGGTTAAATAGTTGCTGCAGGTCCCAAGTGGCAGAGTTGGAACTAGAGCTCAGGCAGTCTGGCCCCAAGATTGGCACCCTTCACCACCTTGCCTTTGACCATACCACCTGGCACAGGTCTCCCATCCTAGTCTAAGCACCTCCCACATTCTCAGTGACTGGATGGCTGACTGATTGCTTGAGCTGATTATTTTGCCAGGCAGAAGGTCAACAGCAAATTCTAGGCCCCAGCCTCACTGGTATTTTTGCAGTTAGTCAAGGCCTATTTATTACTCAGAGAATATTTTGGGGTCTGTGATGAAAAAAAATGCAAAACTTCATTTCACTTCCCTGCTACACTGCTCTTTTTTTTTTTTTAATAGCCCTCTCTTATCAGCCTCCTGGCAGCTTTTGCGTTTCCTGTGCATGTTAATTACTTTATTAATTACGTTGATATCTTTGGTTCTGCCCAGCATATCTTGGTGCTTTTTGTTTCCAATGTGCACCCATTCTGCCTTGTTCGTTGGCATATGCATGCCCAGTTTCCGTTTCTAAAAGGGATTCTTTGAGCCTCGGTAAACACATGGCTTTCAATTAGTCATGCAATCATCATTCCCGTTTTCATCTCAGCCACGTCACTAATAGAGTGTTTTTAACATTCTCCCAAATAGAGGCGCATTGTGTGAAGTTTCTGACATTGTTCCTCAATCCTGTTTTCTCTCCAGGTTACAGCTCAGAGAACCTCACAACCTAGGACTGAGTGACATGATGAACAGGAAGATGTCAGGGGTGGGGAGGGGAGTTGAACCCTGGGGTAGACAGAGAGATAGGGCTTTGTGAGATTAGATTGGAGGGTGACTTAAGACCAATCCTGGGAGGACTTGAATGTTAAGCTGAGAATTTCAGACTTTAACCTAAAAGCCAACATCCTCCCAAAGCTTATGACATAGAATATTAATCCTATTAGCTGTCCCAAAATAAAAGGGAATGGGGGGATTCCATGATCCAAAAGTTTAAGAAATCCCAGAAACTACACATCTGCCTCTTAGGCTTTAACAAGTTAAAGGCTCTGAAAAGTCCTGTAGTTTAATGTTTTAATTATAATTTTTAATTAGCATTTACAAAATTTCTTTGACCGTGGAGCCCTTTCTCGGGGTGCATGTTTACATTGACATATTCTGACCGTAATTTAGGAAGTGCTGCTGGAGGGGACGAGGAGCCTTGGTGGATTTTGAGCAGGAGGGAGCCTGCTTAGAGTCTGACTGTGTTGAAAGGTGGCTCTGGCAGGCGATCCAAGTGGGGGAGACCGGAGGCAGGAGGAGAAATGAGGCCGGCCCTGAACAGTTCAAACAAAATGAAATAAGGATCTAAACCAAAGTTTCAAATGTTTCAATGTTTTCTTTCCATTTTATTTCAAGCTGCATTGTTGTCTTAAAATTGGAAAATCAGTGTTGCTATAATAAATCAGAGCACAAGGATTTTACTCAGGCATAAAATCTGAATGAGAAAAGCAATCTGTGCGATCTTTCATCTTCAAAGGAAGCATTTAGCCCAACAGGGTGTTGGAACACAATAGCCATCTGTTTCTGCAAATCACCAGAGTTCATAGAGGCTTTCCAATCAGATAGACCCAGAGTCGGGTCCCAGGTCCATACCTTAGTGGCTCGGCACAAGCGGCTTCACTTCTCTGTGTCTTCGTTTTCCCATGCAGTAAAGAAAAACAATAATCCTTTTCTCATAGCTTCAGGATTGCATGAGGTGACATGTGCAAAGTCCTTAGCACAATGCCTGACATGTGATAACATACAAACAAATGTAATTGCCCTTCTATATCCTTCTATATTAGTCAGGATAGGCTGGGCTAAACTGCATTAATAAAGAACCCCTAAATCTCAGCGACAAAATGCATCAAAGGCCTATTTCTCTCTCATACAAAGTCCGCTTGTAAATCCAGGCGGCCTCCAGGGGGTCCCTCCTCCATGAGGCAGCTCAGTGATCTGGGCCCAAACATGAGGCCACACACAGATCTCTTGACAGCTCTTCTAAGCTTCAGCCCACTGGGTCAAATGTCACTTCCTCCCATAGCCCATTGGCCAGAATTAGTCATGTGACTCCTAACTGTAAAGAAGCTGAGACTGTGGGTGAACAGAGGGGATGTCAGGGGAGCGCCAGCCTCTGCCACTCCTTCATTCCCTTTGGTCAGTCCACCGAACCTCTCTGAGCCTCAGTTTCCTCATCTGTAAAATAGGCTGATACTTCTGTCCTACCTTGCATGGGATTGTTGTGGGGGCATATGTGATTATGTATGTGGAAAACGCTAAGTTAACGTTAGAGATGTTTATATGCTTACTTTTAGCTGTGCCAAAGCTGTGTCACATCTTTGGTTCATAGGAAAAACATACAACTTCAATTCTTCTTAAATCTACATTCCTGTTCCTTTATTTAAAGATTTTTAAATTGATTTTTAGAGAGAGAGAGTAAGGGAGATGGAGAGAGAGAAAGAAGCATCACATGAGAGTGAAACATAGATCAGCTGCCTCCTGCATGCCCACTATCAGGGATGGAGCCCGCAACCAAGCATGTGCCCTGACCGGGAATCAAACCAGCAACCTTTCGGTGCGCAGATGATGCCCAACCAACTGAGTCACCCAGCCGGGGCTCTATATTCCTGTTCTTATTCCCCAACCCTGTCTTGGCTCTGGATTTCCCACTCCTCCTGCCCTGCTAATTTGAGTCTTTTTAATTTAATTTAATTAATTTATTTATTTAGGTGAGATTATTATGACCACGCACCAGTAGCCTTTAGTAGCCTGTTTTTGTTTTGTTTTGTTTTTGTTTCTTTAAAAATCTTTATTATTGAAAGTATTATTGAAAGTATTTTTTTCCTCCCATTGACCCCTTATAGCCTATCCCTACCCCCTGCTCCAGGCCTCCACCACCCCATTGTCTGTGTCCATGGTTATGTATATATGCATACAAGTTCTTTGGTTGATCTCTTCTCACCCACACCCACCCACCCATGCCCACCTTCTGAGATTTGACAGTCTGTTCCCTGCTTCTATGTCTCTAGATCTATTTTGTTCAACAGTTTATTCTGTTCATTAGATTCCACATATGAGTGAGATCATGTGATACTTGTCTTTCTCTGGCTGGCTTATTTCGCTTAGCATAATGCTCTCCAGGGTGGCGTATTTTGGGATTGCCCATTTGGTGACACATCCTGCTTGGAAAAGGAGACCCTGAAATGTCATGAGGGATGACAGGTCCACCAGGGCATTTCTCCTGGGCAGCAGAGAGAACTCTTGGGTTCTGCATCACAGGATATATGGTTCTTAGATCCCTAAGGAAAAGCAGGTGTGTGTGTGTGTGTGTGTGTGTGTGTGTGTGTGTGTGTGTGTGTTCCAAGCACCAGTATTCCAGGTGCATAGGGCTCTAGGCACGGGAGGGGACACCACTCTTGTCCTGTTCAGATCCCCTTGGAGACCAGGGGGAGAAAGTGTGGCTAGGATGGAAAAAGAATAAGAAACTGTGCCATGTAGGAAAGAATGATGTCAACCCACAAAGAAAAGACTCAAAAGGGCACAATCCCTGTCTCTAAGCTTCAGAGGGGCTGTCCTGGGGCCAAGGGAGGAGCAGGGCCTAGAAGGCAGAGCTGGAACCTGGGGAAAGTTCTGGTGCTACAGATTTCAGCTTAGGATGAGGAAGAACATATCCCAAAATGAACTGGGCTTCCTTAGGAGGTAGTGAGTCTCATCACCAGAGGTGTGCAAAGAAAGCTTGGACGAGCTCTTAGCATGGACTGCACACTGAGGAAGGGAAGGGAAAAACACTTGAGTGTCTTCAAGCCCAAAACTTCTGTAATTTCACAAAATAGAATAATTGAATGGTATGACCTCAAAAGACATTATATATATATTTATATGTATATATTCGTTCTTAATGGATGTGTGTGAGATGAGTTGAGAACAGCTTTGAAGTTATAATGAATTGGAGCATTATGTTCACCCTGAGGACTTCATCATTGGTGCAGAAGAGAAAGCATGGGCAGAGGACAAGGAAACTGGCCCAGACACACAAGCCCTGCTACAGAGTGAAGGGGCACGCACATGCTCCCAGGGCCTGTGGCTGCCCGGGGACTCGAGCGCGCACAGCCAGCGGTGGCACAGCACCAATTACAACATCCTATTTTGGAACAGTCTTTGCAACACTGCACTTTTGGGGCTCCCAACCCGTGTGCCTCCCTGAATGACAACAGGCAAATGAAATGGATGCCTTGTTCTTGTGCGCATTACCGTAGGTGTGTGTGTCTGGGCAGTGTAGTCTTTTGTCTTCCGGGCTCTTGCTTGATGCTCAGAACAACCCTCAAAGCAGGTGACTCCAGCATTTCTCAGAGGAGAACCTGGGGCTCAGAGTGAGCATGTGATGGACCTGGGTCCCAGCCCTGGTCCAGAGGCAAAGCCAGCGGCTATCCATTACCCAGGGCACTGCAGTGTTACCCTGCTGCCTTTTAGCCAAGGGCAAACTGAAATCTGAGCTGCAGCAGGAATCACAAGAGGGAACACTTAAGGCTTGTCCAGGCAGCCAGCTGCCTTTCTCCTTGCTGAGCTGAGACTCTTAGAATTAGTCAGAGTTCCAGGGAGGAGCTCGAACAACGGAAAAGGCCCTGGACTAGGAGTCAGGACACCCATGCCAGGTCCTCGGGTTTCTTGCTGTGTGACCGTGGGTGAGTTACAGCCTATTCCTGGGCTCAGTGTCCTCTACGCAAAATGGGAATGAGACTGATGGCCCTACTAAATGCCTAGGGTTGTCAGGCAGATCTAATAACATTGAAAACCATTAGATTGAGCACAGGTGCACAGCAGTGGTGGCCTACAGTAGCTCGTCCAGGATCCCACGTGCTCCAGCTTCCTGACTTAGAATATCTTCGCACCCTCGTCCTGTCACCTCCCATCTCACACCAAGCAGGGAGTCGTGTGAACTCCAGCCTGGCCATGCACTGCGTTAGCAGCGGACCCTGTGAGAGGAAGAGAGACGCGCCATGGGCATAGTCAGGCCAGGCTGAGAAGGGCCAGCTCAACTGCCAGGGGGTCTGGGCAGTTCTGGATTTGTGTATAAAGCCAGGGTTTGGGGAGTTTGGCAGACCTGGTTCAAGTCCCAGGTCTGTATTAGAGCCCACTGCTGTGGTGATTATTTGGATGAAATGGGACAGTGTGTATGACATCCTTAGCCCAGAATCTGGCACACAAGGAGCAGTCAGTAACGGGGGGAGGAGAGGACAATTGGTGGAGAGGATGGTGAGGGTGCTGAGAGAGGAGGGGCAAAAAGTCAAACACAGAGGCAATGGCCCTCCCCTAAGAGACAGGCAGGGAGCACTGGGGCCTCAGAGGGGCGGGATGAGAGGATCTGGGGAGATTTCAAAGATGAAAGAATGGGTGCGGTGCACACAGTGGTATAAGAAAGGGCATCTCAGGACCAGGACACAGCACAGGAAAGGACCAGGAGGGGAGGGTATGGGGCCTGGCCACAGATGAGGCTAGTGATGGGAGTCGAGGGTAGAGAGTTTTATGTGGGGTCCAGTCGCAGAGGGACCAAATGACTATTCCCTCGTTAAGCTCTTGTTATTGTTTATTCTCAGGGTTTAATTAAATCTCGGAATCTGACACTATAGTATCAGCATCTTTGAGACGCAAGTTTCCCTTCTCTTCATCTCCTTGTGTCTCTCTCTGCTCTGCTTTCCTTGTTCTGTTTATCCCCTGCCCGCCTGGGTCAGTGCCCCTGGAGCCTCCCCAGAGGCCCTGCATGGGACCCTCCCGCCACTGCCTGCTGCCCAGACTGCAAGCTGTGTGGGGTGAGGCCGGTCCAGGGCTGCAGGAAGAAAGCATGATTCTGCTCTCAGGGGGGAGGTGGTGTAGCCACAGTTGTTCCCACGTGCGCCCTGGGAAACCGGCCTGCAGATTTCTGCCCGGCTGGTTGGGGCATGCAGGGTCCAGGCATCCTGGTCCTGCTGAGGGTGGGGGAAAACCAGACTCCAGGAGCCGAGCCTGGAAACGGGCTTCCATCTGGTGCCACCACCCCGGAATCACCGAATGTTGGCACCAAGGGACCTCAGAGGGGAAAGAGCTTGCTTGCCCAAGATTGGCCACCAAACCTTTCCACTCAATAATGCTGCTTCTACAGAAATCAGGTGACCGTGTGAAAAGTTAACCCATATTTCTGCGCATCCCAGTATCATCTGGGACCTCTTGGGTCTTGAGATCCGGGAAGAATTGCCTCACACCCCCAAGGTAGGGAGGCCCTAAGCCTACTAGAGGTTTTGGCCTTTCCGCAGCCTTTCTTGTAGGCGCAGTCCAGTTCCTGGTTCACAGACATTGTCTCTGTTCCTCCCCACATCACCCAGGGCAAGTCTCAAGCCATGGCCAGGTTCACCAGCATCCCCTCTTGCTCGTCAAGCATTTCCTGAATTTTAAATATGTTTTGGTTGATTTCAGAAAAGAAGGGAGAGGTAGAAACATCAATGATGACAGAGAATCATTGATTGGCTGCCTCCTACACACCCTCTACTGAGGATTGAGCCCACAACCCAGGCATGTGCCCTGACCAGGAATCGAACCCTGATCTCCTGGTTAGGTCAATGCATTTCAGAAAAGAAGGGAGAGGTAGAAACATCAATGATGACAGAGAATCATTGATTGGCTGCCTCCTACACACCCTCTACTGAGGATTGAGCCCACAACCCAGGCATGTGCCCTGACCAGGAATCGAACCCTGATCTCCTGGTTCACAGGTCAATGCTCAACCACTGAGCCACACCGGCCGGGCCATTTCCTGAATTTTAATAGAACTTCAGAAGGTGCAGAAATCTGAGGGGAAGGACCATGTGGCCCAACCAGCTTCCCTCCTTCTCCTGCCTCTCTTCTTTCTCACCTCTCTCTCCTCCCGCCCCCCTCTCCTGGTTCCCGCGGAGGTTTGGGCCTCCTCGGAATGCTAGGTGCACTTGGCACCGCCCTTCCAGAGCCGCCACTTTCCTCCGCAGCCGTGGCTCTCCCTGGGGGAACTCTCCTCCAGCCGCATCTCCTCCAGCACCAGAGCGCAACGGGCGCCTTCCTCACGCACATCAGCTGTTCTCAGTCACCACTAGTCTCTCCTCACTTCTTTGCCAACTTAACAAGAAAAGCTGTCACACTTACTTCAAAGTGTCCTTAAAATTACAAGGTCTTCCAGGCACTCACTTGACTCTGGAACAGGCCTGGAGACCCGCTGGACCAGCAGCCCAGTCATGGGGCGTTGGCAGACGCGCCAGGCTCACGAGCAGGCCCTGTGCTGCCCAGTGTCTCGTTTCCGAAAGGAGCCAGAAATCTGGGTGTTCCAGTGAAACCACCTGAGTTTTAAGTACTGACCTACATGCCCAGGCAGCAGGGATGCCATCACCACATTCACAGTGTGTCTCGTGGAAGCCCCCCTTCACCCAGCACCTCTTGGCTGTGGATTCAGCAGCCATACCTGTGAGCTCTTCCTGCTCAGGGCTTGCCCAGGGGCCCCAGAGACAGGCCCAAGGAGAACAGGCGCATCCCTGAAGGCCCGCCTCCACAGGGATGGGCACAGAGCCCAGCCACAGGGAAGGGAATGACAAAAGTTGAGATGCACCTCCCACCTGCTTTGCTTGGCTTAGGTTTAGCTTGGCTTTGCTTCTGACTGTGTCACCTTAAGCCTATTTCCTCACCTGTAACATGGGTGTAAAATTCCTGGCTCCTTCACCCTGAAGGTCTGCCCTGAGGTCAAAATCAAAGAGAAATCCCACTCACAGTGGTTCTCAACCTTCCTAATGCCATGACCCCTTAATACAGTTCCTCATGTTGTGGTGACCCCCAACCATATAATTAGTTTCATTGCTACTTCATAACTGTAATTTTGCTACTGTTATGAATTGTAATGTGAATATCTGATACGCAGGATGTATTTTCAAACGACCCCTGTGAAAGGGTCGTTCGACCCCCAAAGGGATCGCGACCCACAGGTTGAGAACCACTGCAGTAGAAGGATTTATGAGCTGCAAAGGGCTAGGAATGTTAGGACCTATCACTGCACTTGTCAGCCCTTAACTTCCCCATGAGGATCCCCACCCCAGTTCTGACCCTTATACAACCACAGAAATGCATACTAGATTCCAAGGTCAAATTAAGGATGCCTCTCTGATCAGGACCAGGCAGGGGTCTGCTGGCCCACTGGTGTCCTAATGCTGAACTCAGGTTGCCTCTGCTTCTCAGCCAGTGCCCGGCCACCTCTCCCACCCCACAGACATCGGGTGAGTGGCTTTGGACCCCATGTCTGCTGCTCTGGACGCTGCCCCAAGTGCACCTGAGCAAGGCGCACAGCACCGGCAGACTGGATGAGTCCAAAGTCAGAAGGTGGCCCTCATCCAGCTCCAGAGGGCTGACGAGGCAGTGCTCAGAGCCCAAAAATGTAAGTCCCGATAAATGCTGGCTGGTGGGCAGCCCATGAGGCTGGCCCCTCCTGTGCCAACCCACAGCATGGCCCAGGGCACGGGGCATGGAACGGGTCAGAACACCTGCATCCGGGTCTCCATTCAGTCACCCTCTTGCTAGAGTCCTTTCCTGGGCCTGTTTCTCCACCTGTAAAAAGAGGAATTGGACTAGTGCATAATCCTCTGTGTTCGGAAATGGGGAGTCGGGGGAGGGAGATGTGGACTGTCACAGTGACCAGAAGACATTCCTGGCACTGAGTGCCCTGCACTGAATAGGCAAGTTCCTCACAACAGAGAACCGTGTCCCCTCCAAAGAAGACAATGCAGGAAGTGCCCCGTTGAGAAACCCTGGCGGGTGATCTCACAGGTCCCTTCCCGGCCTGGGATTCTGAAAACATTCACTCTAACTCGTAATCAAACATTCTAAAAAAAATTCTTACCTTGAAACGACAGCTTCTAGCTTTGCTGCCTCAGAGATGTGGGGCTGCTGCTGTTGAGATAAGCAGCCCAGCCCGGAGGGATCTGGAAGGTTCCTCCCAGCTCCAGCACGCTGTGACTCTGCAGTGGGAGATAATGATGACGGGTTACACACACGGAGCGGGCTTTCCACTCTCTGAAGCCTGCTATTCACCCCAGTTACCTCCTTTGATTGTCTTGCCAATGCTGGGAGGTTGCAGACGAGGAATCAGACTTAGAGATGGGTTCAAAGTCATACAGCTGGACTTGGGGTCTGAACCACGTGCCCTTTCCCCTCCCTGCCCAGGCTTCCTTGATGAGACGACCGCCCCCCCCCTTGTCCCCAAAAGAGGCTGTGACTCAACTGCTTTCCCAGGAAAAGAGAGCATCTCTAGACTCTGCAATGCAGCCCAAAGGTTAGACATCCTCTCTCCCACCATCACATTTCTATACACACACTCACCTTCCAATTTTACCATCTATTTCAAAAATCAAATTTGAAATTTAAAAGAAAAGCTGGATGGCTCAGGGAACAAGTTCTGAGAGAAGCTTCTGGGAACTGGTCAGAGGTGGAAGGCACCCGCTCCTTCAAAGAAGCACTGGCCAGCCCCAGCCGGTTTGGTTCAGTGGATAGAGCATCTGCCCTCGGACTGAAGGCTTGCAGGCTCGATTCCATTCAAGGGCACCCACCTCAGTTGCAGGCTCACTCCCTGGCCCAGGTCCAGATGTGCGTGGGAGGCAGCCAATCAGTGTGTCTCTCTCACATCAGTGTTTCTCTCCCTGCCCCCATTTCCACTCTTTCTGAGAATCAATGAGGAAAATGTCCTCAAGTGAGGATTTTTTTTAAAAAAAAGACTGGTCAGGTTGGGGCTTGAGAATCTGAGCCACCCACACAGTAGGAGTATGAAAGATCAAGAGCCCCCTGGTCACAGGAAAGCCCATGGCACCCTTCATGTCCTCCACCCCAGACTCCCCCCTGCTCGGACCCACACAGGACAAACAGAAGTACTGTATTGCGGAGTCTGGCCAGGGTCAGGACATGTAGATACTCTGTGTCAGAAGTGTGTGAGTGACAAAGGAATCTTCACTCTTAACTGAAGATCTGCTGAGGACCAAATGTCAGCCTGGTTTAAGATCCTCTAATCTGAGGCCTGGCCCAGCACATCTGTGTCCCCTGGGAGCATGTTGCAACTGCTGCATCCAGACCTGCTGGCCCGCCTGCCGGTTAACAAGCTCCCCAGGTATTTGTGTGCTGGCCCCTCACTTATTACACTCCAGCCACACCGGCCACCTTTTGGTTCCTAAAATATGCCAAGGACTTCGCCATTTAGATCCTCCTCACTTGCTGTTCCCTCTCTGAGGAATGGTCTCCCCCTAGATTCTCACATGGCTGGTCTTCTCATCATTCAGGGCACAGACTAAATGTCACCACTGCAGAGGAGCCTTCCAGACTATCTTATATGCTGTAGGTGCCCCTGCTAGTACCCCTCAAAGAAACTTGTACCTCTCTGTAGGAACACATTTCACCATTGTACTCAGCTGTACTGTGTGGTTCATCAGCCTTCTGTGTCCTCCACTAGGCTGCACTCTCTGGGAAGGCAAGCATCCTGTCCATCTCGTATACCTGGGCCCCAGCATGGAGCACAGTGCAGGCACACAGTAGGCACATGAGAAACATTGATTGAGTTTTTACGTATCGGTCCATGTAGGACAGTACAGTCATCCCTCCATTATTCAGGCTCACATTAGCTATACTGTAAATTAACCCATGGGCTCACGCTGCAGATGAGTAACCAGGGTCTAAAAGAAAGTGGAGACTTGCCCAAGGTCACCCAGCAAGTCTATAGCAGGACCAGGGCCTTTGACCTTTCAGGACCCAATGCCTCAACCCGTGCCCAGACACTCTCCCGGTCGTTCATGTATGCAGCCTGACAAAGCAGGATGTTTGCAGGGGCCACTGACCTACATTGTGAATAATTGCATCATGCAGAGGGACTCTCGGGCCAGCTGCCCTCCTTTCAGTGCACAGATGGGGAGACGTTTCCCCAGCAGCTTCTGCAAGCCTCCTGCTGAGCAGCGGCTGGACCAGGAGTCAGGTGTGAGCCCTTGGAGCCCCGGCCATCACAAACAGCCTTGGCCTCTCTGCTGGGCACCGCCTGTCAGGCAGGAAGAGCATTTTATCGGCTTGAATTCAGCTTGCAGCACCAAAGCACAGCCCTCACAGAGCTCCAGGGCCTTCAGGGGAGGCCTCTGTTGAACGTGTAGTAATTAAGTCATTCCTCTCACTCGCCGCACCTCACTGGTTATAGGGCAGGTCTGTACCCACTGGCACCTTGGAAGTTGACAGGGTGCTTTGAAAGAGGCAGGGACGGTTGGGAAGAGCATATGGTGAGGGAAGAAAGACAGACCTGGGTTTGAATTTCCGCTCTGACACTTTCTAGCTGGAGATTTGGGGCAAGTTACTTAACCTCTCTGTGCCTCAGTTTCCTCATCCGTAAAATGAGTAGCACTTCTTGTTGAATTCTTATGAGGCTTTGACAAGATAACGGGTATAGGGGACACAGCTTAGCAACTAGATGTCGTTGTCACTCATGACAAGCAGCTCTCGGTGCCCTTAGGGCAGCTGTTATTGGTGAAGTCCACCCACTCTCCTCTGAGGCTGCTCTCATGGAATCATCCTGATCTCACTAGAATGGAAGACCTGTGAGGACAGGGGTCTTGTCAATCCTGCTGCATGCTGCATTCCCCATGTCCAGAATGGTACCCGGCAAGTGGCAATGTTTGATAGTTATGGAATGAATGAATGAATGAATGTTTAGGTAATTGCCCAGGTGAGCAGCAAGGAAGGGAGGAAAATAAAGAACAAAGCAAGTTAAAGTTCTTGTAGGCCAGTGTCCAGAGCAAGGGAAACATTCCTAGGCCAGTGGAGGCGTGTCCACAGCTGTACAGGGAAGTGGCCCTGAGTACCAGCTTGGCATCTGTAGGGGTCAGTGCCCTGTGCTCACTGGCCCTGGGCTGCATGGATGGCCCATAGTAGGAGCAGGGTGAGTGGAGTGGGTAGGTACAGCCTGGGCTCTCCAGCTCAATAGCATCCCCACCCCCACTGCCCTGGAAGGGAGATGGGGGTCCTCCAGGGTGCCTGGAAATCTAACCTGGTTTAAGGTCAGTGGGTGCCTTCTAGAGTAGTATAGGATGCTGCTGAGGGCTTTGTCACCTACAGCCCCACCAAGCCACAGAAGGAGCTCTGTGTCCCCAGCCCAGGATCATCCACAGCTGCTGGGTGGGTCTCTCCGCACAGTTCTTTGGTGTCCTCTAGTGGCGCTTTGGTGCACGACAATGACTCCAAGTAAGTGCTCAGGTGGTGGCCGTGCTGCACATCTCTCCCTCCTGTGACTGCTCAGACCACTCTGAACTTGTCTCAGGTCAGGCACATAAGACAAGAAGAGGTGTGGCTCTTCCAGTTTGCTTTGAGATTCAATGCAAGGGTCTTTTTTATCCAGATTCCCCATCTCCCAGCCTGAACCTGAACTTCATCACTCCTAAAACCACCCCCACCCCCTGCCATTCTGATGCGTGAGGGGGATGTTCACTACCAGGAGACTGTTGTGCTTATTTCTGGATCAGCGCCTGTGGACTGGGAAGATGTGTGAAACCTCTCTGCCCACTGACTTCTCTGAAATCTCAGCAGGCCCATGGTTTTGCAATGCCCTTCTAGCTTATAGAGATGGGTGACGGACTAAAAGACCAAATGTAAGAATTAGCATTTCAGGATTCAAAGAGATCAGAGCAGACCAAGATGGGGACTGGGGTGGGGAGGGGTTTACTAACAAGGGAAAGGTAACTATGCTGGAATGTCAGCTGCAGAAGAGGGAAGACCGAGCTAACAACAGTTGGATGAAAATTATCTGACGGGGTCTTAGTCAACACTAAGGAACATCTGAATCACCAGTGGAAGGTCGTTACTTAAAAATGCAAGGAGATCTGGAAAAGGGTGCAAGCGGACTTTCACCAGGTGGTTGAGCTCGACCCTAGGCCTCTAGATCAACAGTAAACTCAAGCAGGCAAAAGGACCAGGTCGACATGTGGGAGGAGGTGGTGTGTACCTTCACTGTGGGTCTCCCCCTTCTAAAGGATGGTGTGCAGACTCAAGGAGAGAGAGAGGTTGAGGTTATTCTGGGGAGCCCAAGAGGAAAGACCAATGGGTGGAGGTGCAGGAGGAGGTGGTTCTGGTTCAGTAAAAAAACTGCAACCATCTCACCAATAGTGGGAAGAGGGGTCTGTCACAGGGGCATGTAAGCCAGACAACCATCGTCAGCTTCCTGTGAATAGTTATCATTACGTTGAACAAGGTGTTTGACAGAATCAGTCCTCTACACATAGACTCTAAGAGTCCATCATAAATTAGTGCCTTTCATTGCAGAACAGACACGGTCACCTTTAATGGGTTTGCTATTCATGCATGGCCGCGACGGGCCTGTGCTACTGCATTCCAATGTCTGCTTGGTTGTCAGATATTAGAGAAACTCAAGTTCTGCCACAAAGTCACTGTTGACCTTGGGACCACATTCCTTCTCAGTCTCCTTAGTTAAACAATGAAAGGACTTAAAGAAACTCCCATCACCCTTAGAATCCAGGCAGCAATGGAGGGGAAATCTCTGGCCTTGGCCACTCTGACTGTGGTTTCTGATAGCCACCTTCCCCTGGGTGTCTCTCACTGGTACCCACTGCCACCATGACAGAGGCTTCATGGCCCTCCCCTCCCCTCTGGCACTCCAGCCCGCATGTGCACTCAGTGACCATGGAACCACAGAAGCCAAGCTAAGGCTTCCTGTGGCTTAGGACAACAAAAGGGAATCAGGCCTCAGAGAGCATGTAGCTGGATGATCTGGTTACAAGATGGCCTGTGCCCAGGGATACCTCCATTCCTGCTTCCATGTGGGAGCACCGTCTTTCCCCAACTCACAGGTGCCCAGGCCATTGCTGCCTCAAAGCTCAGGCCTAGAGAACAGAGCCAAGAGAAATAGGGGTTCCATCTTCCACCTGCCTCAGGCCCGCCTTCTACATCACCAAAGTGCCCCTTCCTCCTAGTGATTGACCCTGGG